ATCCCGATCAAGATATGCTTCCCCACGTTTTTATGAATGTAAGTGATATTAAGATTAAAAGGTTGGAATCCAGTGTACTGCGGAATCCAATATTATTGGTCCCAATATACTGAGTGACCAATATTATCGGTTCTAACAGATTGGATGACCAATATTATTGGTTCCAATAGATTGGGTGACCAATATTATTGGATCCGAATATTATTGGATACCCAATAGTATTGTACAATATCTCCAATAACGATTGGTATTGGTACATGCCTAATCAGAATGAGTTATTTGAAGAAGAATCAATTATTGATGGATGTGGGATACTTATCTAAGTTTATTCATAGATGAATGATATTCACTCTCTTATACATGTTCGACGGTAAAATAAATATTGAAAATATCATAGCTGAAGAGGTGAATGTTAAATAATAGCTAAATAGAATTATTTGATACTGACTGGATAAATCGCGATAATCTGGATAACTATATATAAATAATGTAATCAATCGTGATAAAGATAATAATGCGAGAATAAAAAGACTAATACTTAAATGTTTATGTACATTCATCGGATCTTCCAATGATGATCTGACTCTACAAAAGAAAAGAAAAATAATAATGAATACTGACATGAAATTGAATAGAATAGATGAAGAATATTTAAAATTTTTTGTGAAAATGTCCAGTCATAATTAATCGCGATACTCAACTGAACAGAATAAACGTCTATCTATTGAATCTTCTAATAGTCGTCGATGAATTAGATCATGAAGTAAGTGACGCTGATTATCATCGATAGTATTCGAGCTGTTCTCTTGCTGTGTGCTCCGATGAATTGCACTCCTGCCAATGCAATTATAGCATGTTGACGGTAATAAGTTTTTCAGCTTTTCTAAGCCATACATTCGACAACCTAAAAATTAGATTTTTATAGTAAACTATTTTTGCTTAAAAATTTGTTATTTTCTCACCTTTTTAATGTAATTACTAAAAATATGAGCAATACTTCATTTTGTTTATACATATAAACATGTAGAACTTTATTCCTCTTTATAGAAAAGAACAAATTTCCTATTTTAATCTATATATTCATTTATTATATATTCAAAACAAGCAATGTTCATCGAATATTTTACCAATTCGCAAATTAAAATTAAATTACAGGGTGAGCCATAAGTTTCTCTCTGTAAATTAACATTATTTATATAAAATACATATAACAAGATTCAGCTGTTTTTTGCAAAAGTTTCCTCATTTAATTCTCTACAAAATGGTATATAGGAGATGATCCTGAGAGTTGAGATGGCGTCGTCATTGAACGGAAATCGAAATGTCTCAAAACTTTCAATGCCCCCAAAACGAAGAACGTATTTCGTCAGTATAAGCTTAAATGTATACGTTATGCCCACATCGAATAGGCAAAAATGTAGCCCTTGGAATTCTCTATCGAATGGCTATGATGCTAATCGAATAATAATCGAAACGCCGCAACCAAAGGATGATCAATAAGTTTCGGATCCTCTGGAAAAAAATGCTTTTCTTTCTTAATATCAATCCAAAAAAGCTCAAACATTTAACATTTAATCTCTTACAACTAGATGATTATTACTGTAGATTTTTATATCTCTAGCTCTATTAGTAAGGAAGATATATAAACAACGCATATAAAGAAAATTTACGGAGAGGGTCCAAAACTTATGGCTCACCCTGTAGATAAAAAGAGTCTATTTCTACTTCTTATACTAGTTAGAAGTACACAAGTTGTGCTATATACTGATGTATTTTCCAGAAATTTTTGATATCTTGTCTATATGTTTCATTGTTTATCCCACAATTATCACCAGATTGAGTAAAACGTTTGGACTGAATATTTTTTTTAAGTTACATAAAATTGACTTTCATCTTACACAAGTCGATATTATTCAGAAGGTCTTTGTAATCTCAAAATAAAAAGTATCAACAAACAACCAGATCATTGGGTTAACAACAAATTATTAAAAAGATTATCATATTCTATACTCATTGTTGATAATAAATCATTCAAATTCAAATAAGTTTTTAACCAGTGTTGAAAACATTCACTGAATATTCCATTTTTCAAACACACAGAAAGTTCACCAATTTTCTTCATTTTTCTTAGCGTTAATGGTAAGATTAAGTAGAGATCATCGATATTCGTCAATTCAAAAGATAAAATCAGTACATTTTCAAATATAAAAGACATTCTTTCCAATATCTTTACATTAAAATGTTCATCATTATTGTTCATAGTAACTGTTACACTTGTTAAATTTGAGCAAATTTTATCATTAATTAAATTCATATCTAATAGAACACAATAAGGTACGGTTAATGTGATAATATTCGATGCTTCTGTTAGTATAACCTCTAATAATTTTGACGGATAACATTTGTCAATCAGATGTAAATGATTTAAATTTGAAAATGTAACAAGTATTGATAAATCATTTATGATTTTTGTTGTCGTATTATCCACAGATGTTAATTGACTATATAGTGTCAATGATTTAACATCTATAAATTGTCGTACAATTAATGGTAAATGTATATTACTCAACGTTATATCTAATCGATCAATTTTTGCATATACATTTTTAAATGTCGATGGTATCGTTGATCCTGTTTGCATTTGATATAACTGCATATCAAAATTATTATTTTTCGGTCGTGGTATTGTATATAATAAAAATTCTGAATCAACTAATTGTGTACAATCGACAATAATGAACCATTGACGTTCTATTATCCAAAATGGTGTAGAAAATGACTGTATTATATTATCGATATTAATAATGTCGCTAGATACTCTATCACTTATGTCTAAACTAAATTGTTCTAATAATGGCAAAGATTTGGTAATCAATTTTTCCCAACGAGCTCCATTTGCATAGTCAATTAACATAGCTGTAAAAAAAAAATAAGAATCACAGTTATATTCAAGTGACTTTAAAAAACGAATCTACGGAATAATCAAGTATATGTAGGAGAGCACATAACATGTACATAGAAAATAAGATGTCTAGGATTTCATTCAATTCTCCGTTTAAATTTATCCTAAAACTCAACTTTTTGCAGTCTACAAATATCTCTTGTCGAGATAGATACCTTGATGAGCGTACTTTATCCAAGTACTTTGTCGAGCACCTGGGAAGTACAAATCATACTAAAACACAAGTGTTAAGTTGTTTTATTATTGAATTGAGTCATGCTGTCGAGTCAAAAGCCATAAATTCTCAAGTCTAAGTAAAGTCCGTGTCATTGGAAGAACGTGACCCATCATTGAACCAGTACAGTGTAAAAGATAAAGTGCTACAAAAAGTGTTTTTTATGAAAACTGTGTTGATATAAAGCGCATGGCTAAACATAGCCCTTTCAGATATAGAGAAAATAAATCATTTTTGATCTGCTGTAAACTAGAACACTTCGTGAAAAAATACGCTCTCAAAGTGATTGCAAAGAGAGCATTTTTAAAAGTATATAATAGAAAGATGTTTTTGAAGCGAGAGAGAGAAAGAGAAAACATCGTGCTAAACAGTGTAACATGAAGCATTTTTTTTTGAAAAGACACTTTTTAAAGTCATGTTGACAAGTCATTCACCTCTTTTGTTTTGCTATGACTACTGATATATATGTAACGCTGATTTTCTTCGAATAACTTGAAGATTTTTCTCTTGAAAGCCTATACAAGTCATCGAAGCTTGTCTCGAAGAAGCAGCCTTAACCTACGGATTAGTATTAGTGATAGTATCATGCTCTTGAGACTGATACTAAGAATAGTTCAACGGTGCAAAGGAACCAAAAATTAACAAAATTAGAAAATCATATTTATAAATTCAAAATCAAATATAATGAAATTCGAGAAATGTCGTTCGAAAAAGTGGCCTAGAGAAGAGCACTTTCAAAAGCGATCTCTTGTGGCGCTGATCTTATTTGTAGCGGACTTTATTTGGTATACTTTTCAAGTGACCGACCACTGGAAAGCGCTTTGTAAATGGTTTTCATTAAAGTACTTTTCAAAGTTTTCTCTAGTCAAACACTTCAAAAGCACGGCAAAACAAAACCGCTACAAATAGGATCAGCGCCACCTGGGAGCGCTTTCTTTTTTACACTGTACGCGTTTCTGGTTTAAAGAGGAGATAATATACTTCGACAGATGGGCTATTTACTGCCATGAAACGTTTTGTTTCAAGTGTTATGGATCGTGGGACAAACACCATTGCCAAAATATAGACTGAACACATAGTGATCTGGCATGAACGATTATTTTTGTTGAATCGAATGAGATTATAAATGAAAATAGTTTTAATATTTTAAATCGACCTGCGTATACTAAATAAACTTTGTTTTACAAGTTCATTATTTTAATGTACAATCTGCAATATTTTTATCATGTAAAAATGCTGAGTAATATCTTTCTCGGATGAATACATGCTCGTGGACGAGCCCTGTTACTGTCATGATGCAAACTTTAAGCCGGCGAAAACTGAAATCGAGAAGTCTATTTCTGATGTCAAACGATGTTTACAGACGTCAATATAGGCAAGCACAACTAACTAATTTTCTATCGCTGTCGTATTTTTTTTCTCAATCAACTAAGAACCAACGGCACGCGTATGTAAATTCATGGTGACATAGTCGTCCTCATGACATGAAGTGGTCCTCGCAAATCACGAAAACTGCCCTAGATGTAATAAAGTATTAGGGAGCATCATGGCAACATTTTGTGATTCTTCGCCTAAGCTAAAATATCCAGCTTACTTGTGCACGTCCCGTCCTCACGTATGGTTATGATTGTGTTCAACAGGAATTGTCGATATGAACCATAGCACTCAGCTCAGAGACTATCAGAGCGTATAGTATCCATTGATTTTTCCATTCCACATGCCGATAGAAATGTAAAGTTAGAGTTTTCTCTTATAGCCTTAAACTGGCAAGATTAAAACATTTCTGGGCAACTCTCTATGGAAGTGACAAGTTCTAGCTTTATTAAGTCTTCTATGTAACGTCATACTCCTTGCCATGATTCTAAACAGTTAAAAGTTCTTCCTTCATTTAAATAACTACTCTTCGCTGAAAAGTTTTTAACCGAAACAATCAAGGAATAGAATGAGCTACCGGACCATGTTGAGATAAGCCCTTCAAGCTTTTCAGCTTTACGCACTGCTTTCAGCAGTATTTAACACACAGTCAGGACTGTTCCGAAGCGGTCAGGGTTGGGGAGGGAACAGGCTGGGCAGTCTTTTGCGGAAGTCTGTTTACTAATAACTCTGTGACACAGTCATTATTAAACAGACTTCCTCTTGAAATAGTCAATTTTTTTATGGAAATTGTTGTTAAATGCTGTCCAATGTATGTTATTCTCTTAGATATAGTATCTTATTCACATTTTCATGGTTATCGATCATATTTCTCTCTTTTGTGGTTCCACAGTTGATGCAATAGCTTTCTTAAATTCATCACCTCTCAATTATTTCATGTTGAGCCAATAAAAGACAAAGTAAGACTGTCGTTCTATGTTTAATTATGAAAATTTTCCGTAAAATGCTAAAGTAGATCTTTTTTTCTTGATTTCCACAGTGCCCCATTCTTCAACGACGATTGTTGTTTCAGAGTTCAAAAATTACATTATCATATCTCGAAAAAGATGACAGAGAAAACCTGAAACGTGATGCAACCAATTCCATGTTCTTAAAAGATAAGCTCCTAAAGTTCATGAGTTCTCATCTTTACATGCTTATTTTTTAACATCAGTAGTTCCTTGATCAATAATGTGCGAGCATAACGTTCAATGGGTACAAGTCCTTAGGATAGTGTTCCCTTATATCACGTAAGGCCCAAGGGGGAAAAAGTATACTTCTGTACTTCTCGGTACTTCTCCGTACTTCTGAAGTACGAAGTACGTTGGTAAGGTCACACAGTGGGCAATTTTGACTAGGCACATGGACATATGCTGTAGAAGTGGTAGGTAAATCTGTAAACACACTCTTTGTAGGTTTTCGAATATGCTCTTTCCAATGGTGAGAGTTTCAAAATCCAAAAATAATTTTTTCTAGGTTTTCTAGAGATCCGATCTTCAGAAAATCCTGGCAAGGTTAGTTTTGGATTTCGAAACACTCACCATTGGAAAGAGCATATTCGAAAACCTACAAAGAGTGTGTTTACAGACTTACCTACCACTTCTACAGCATATGTCCATGTGCATAGTGAAAATTTGCTATGGTAATGTTCCTATGCTACGATTTAGTGTGATCAAAAGCTTTTCTGTAGAAAAATGTTTTGAATTATATATTATTCGATGCAGTTTTTACGCTGATTCCAAATATGTCCTCAGTTTCTAGAAAAAAATGCTTTGAAGACCGAAAAACCTCAAAAAACCTTCTAGAAAATCGAGGATTTCGAAATTGCTGTAGCTATTGGAGGAAGCATTTGGGCTAAAATAGGCTAATAGCATAAACGCGTCACACATAGAAGAACATTTCCTGAATGTTTCATCGAGATTGGAGCTTCACTTTACTCAGGTCGCTTTTTTGGAGCCTGCTTTCTCTGTAGAAAACTCACCGTTTCTCATCCAAAAGTGGACAAAAAACGAAACTTTTTTTACGACTCGACAGCTTAGAAGCTCAACTTTTAGACTGTATGAATTTCATATTTTGCCAACTCCAGTAATTTACGAATTCAACGCTTTTTGTATACCATAGCGGAAAAATAGCCGCTTTTTTGTGACTTCCTATTTTCAACGAATCAGAAGCATTAGAACGAAAACTTTTTTACCAATCGATCAGCCATTGATCGGAGTATATGTAGCAACGCTCAAATTTTCAAAAATCTCACGTTTGGTTTTTCACCAAATGTCGACTTGATTGACCACTGTGGATCAGTTACTCAGAAATGAATTTAATGTACATTAAGCATAACTGATTTATAGAAAAGCAACTGGTATTGTCTTTTAGAAAAAAGAAATTTGGATTTCGAAAAAGTAGACCTATCTAAATAATCTGTTTGATTCTGCTAATGGAGCCACGGTACCAATTCGGAGGTGGAAGAACAAAAGAATTCTCACACGTAACCCAACTATGACTGTGGTTTTAACTGAAAACTGAAAGCAGAGAGTATCCAAATTACCACATGAAAAGTTATGATTCTCTTGTGAGCTTCTTAACCGTTTTCGATAAATTTTCATGAAATGCACATAATGCAGAGACACTCACCTGACAATGTCAATTTTTTTAACTGTGGAATATTCTTTAATAACCGTTCTATTTCATCAAAGCTGATAAACGACACCTTAATTTTGATATGGGTTAAATGTGCTACATATTGTCCAATATTCGCATATATTTCACAATCAATTAAATCATCTGCATTTTCTCTATAATCAATGTTAGCACTAACATGTTTTAGTTTCGGTAAATGCTTTAATAACCTCACAAATTCATCGATATAGCATCCATTGATATTTAAATATTCAATATTAGAAGTTTGAATTGAAGTCTTATGAAGTAAAATTAATGAATAAAATTCTAAGCTTACACGTTTTAATGTTGTCGTTTTCGAAAATATCGATTTGATCATTATGTTTGAACACAAACTTAAATCAACTTTTTGTGGACCATACGCCTCTATTTGTAAATGTTCAATATGATTTAATTTTGATAAATTTTTCATAATTAACTCAAGATTATATTGTATAGGGTCTATTAGAATAAGTGAACGAACGTTTTTAAACATATCCACTTGAAATAGTTTATGAAATTGTGTTAGACGATTATAACGATCGGACATTTCTAATACAACAATTTGTGTTAAATATTTTGGAATAATATTTGTGCAATAGTAATCGAATAAACGTTTTGATAATGAATGGCTAATGTTAACTGATAACAGTAAAACAGATTGTAACTGATTAAAACGAAAATTTAAATCATTAAACGATTGAAATAGGTCATATGCATCCAAATATTGAAGAATATCAATTATAATTTCATTGGGTAACTGTTCTAATAATGATGTCATAACGTACGTCTGTAACGATTCAAACTCTTATTAGTAGATTTTTTATTGATTGAAAGTAATCAATGAAATTACCAATATTCTGTCCAAATCTTACTTTTTTCTAGTCTGTTTGTGAGAAAAAAAAATTGTTAGTCATTTCGTTTTTCTCTCTTGTAATGTGATATCTGATTTCAGTTAACAACAGAAAAAAAACTGACGAAAGAATAATAATACAGCCGTAATTGAGTCATATCCTTTTACATGTAACGAAACGGACAATAAGAGAATAAGGTAAGATTAAAAAAGTCGAAACATTTTTTCTCTTTCTGTTATGTTTTATGTTTTTAAGCGTGTTCTATTCATGTCAGAAGGACAAGTTTTGTCTCAAAGTCAGCAGAAATTGATAAGGTGTTCCAGAAGTCCATATGAAAAAAAGCTTTAAATATCTTCGTCATTTCTTAACTAAACTACAAGATTATTTTTTTATTGGATCGAGAAATGCTTCAAATTTTATTCGATATATTAGGAAATTTTAGTTAATACTTGAAAAAATGTTCGGATTTATCATAGTAAAATTTAGGTTTTTTAGAACTTTTTTTATTAATATATGTGGTGTAAAACTTTTTTAAGTTTTAATATTAAAATAAAGTAAATGATTTCCCCTTTCACGTAACAAAATAATTATTTGTTTATGTTTAAAAATGACTGGATAGTGTGGATTTCTTTAGCCATGGTTGTTCCACACCAGCATTTAGGAAAGTACAAAAAGTCAAATAAAGTTAACTAAGAAAAGAAAAAACTGCTTGTGAAATTTCATACAAAGAAGATAAACACATATCTTTGTAGCAATTTTCCTATTTTCACATTTTCACATTACAACGCTCCCAAATGAACATCATGTGCTTACTTTCTCTTGTTTCGTATTTATGTCAGTAATATTAAGGACGCATTTTATTATAGTTTATTTTGTTCTTTGCTCTTCTTGTTTTTATTCTTCTCACACGTGTGTTCTTTAGAAAAAAATTTTTGTATTCTGCACCATTCTGTTGATCATACAATATGGATTACTTGAATCCGCTAGTATGGCTTCAAAATGTATTAGCAAATGCTTTCAAATAAAGATATTTTAGACCAAGGTAATCTTGTAAAGTGAAATAGTTTGAAGGTCTGTAAGAAGTTGGATTAGGCTACTGCAGAAGCTGGAATACGCAGGTCATGTCAATGTAGAGAAATTAAAAGACGTTATTTCATGAGTGAATCGAGTACCCTTAAGCAGGGGGTCAATCACGAAAAACAGATTTTGCTAAAAGTTACATCATTCGATTCAGCATGGGGTGACGAAACTTTTTTAAGCTTTTTAAGTCATTTTGCTTTGGAGAAAATCAAGTTTTCCCAAGATCTAAGCTCAAAAAACCCAAAAGTTGACCAATTTCTGCTTTTTCTGTATAAAACCGTCAGTTTTCGTTCACTTATTTTGAACGACATTTCATTTGAAAGAGCGCACAAAACTGAACAAAATTTGATCTTTAAAAGTATTTTAAGGTTAAAATAGTAGTCGTAAAAAAAAATTTACTAGACTTTTGAGGTTTTTGTAGAAAAATCGGAATATTTTAAGTAATCAAACTAAAATCCATAATAAAGTTTTGATATTTTAATAAAGGAAACAATTCTGCACCTGATGCATTGTTTAAAAATGACAAAATCGATGCAACTCGGGATCAAAATGGTCCCACAATAGTCAGGATTGGAAATGTCTTTTTTAGCCCTGCTCCTGTAGACATTTTGCTTTTTAATATTGTTTCCTAACAAAAATAATATTTTTTATTCCTTCTCTCTAATGATCGCCTAATCAATGCCTAACGCACTGAGCCACTTATTTTTTTGCTTATCGTATGTGTTTGTATCCCTTCTTCGTATCTCTTTCCTTAGTTGCACACGTGATATTTGAATCGGTCTGTTTTGATATGCTTTCAATTTATCATTTCCTGCAATGCCCTTATCAGTTTTTTATTTGCTTCAATATAAATGTTTCATCCACTTTTGTGGCTTGTATTTTTTTGGATTTTCTATTTTTTTTTCCTGTTTTTCTTTACATCAATAAACGAGATTAAAACAAATGTTTCATCTTCTTCTACTGTAATTGAGTCCTTTTTAGTTTATTAACCGCCTTATTGTTAATTTGTTGCTTGCGTATTTAACTTTGTCACATGTTAAAATAAAATGTTTTTCGTAGTAGCTTACTTTTATAAGGCTAATCCCACGTATTCAACGCATCCTCAATGTCTTAAGGACATCAGGATGTCTTATTATATGCATCAAAAATGTACTTAATTTACACGGAAAAAGATATTCAAAATACCTTGACTCAACATCCATGATGTCTCACGAAGATGGTACGGGTACATAAAATTGGAATCCAGCCACTTCGTAAGGCATCGCAGCGCGTCTTTTACATCGAAAATTTTTTGACTCGCCTGAAGTGCATTTTTTTCGAAAATGTACCTCTTTTTTCAGTGTACAGGAAATAAGCGAATGCAGAAAAACGACATGTGAGATATGCTCAATAATTATTCACGCATACATTGATAGGCTTAAATAAATTTGAACATAGAACACGAAAAACTGTTCCGCCGCTGGCGGAATGTTCAATGCGGGTTTTTGTTATGGTACTGCGTTGTAGAACTTTGTACGGCCTAGTAAGAAAATTTTTTGTAAAAAACCGAGTTTGAATCTCACATTAGAATTTGATTCTACAACGTAAGTTTTATTCAAAGTGAATGTGTAGAATTTATACAGTCAGTCTTTATGAGAACATTCGGATTCATGGTGTAAACGTCTTTTCTGTTAGTCCGCTCTTCTCTTGGTCACTGAATAAAGTAAAAATATTTGTCTAACTGGCTGATTGCATTGATGTAAGAGGAAGACTTTCTAACAGATTTTACTACAGTCAACAGTAAAATTGCAGAAAGAAGTCAAAATACAGAAAAAACGGGAGAGTTTCGGAAACCAGGATAATACAGGATGTTCTCATACAAAAACAAGACAGATACGAAGCCTAAAAATGTGGTGTTTTGAGATACTATGCTTCTGCGTCAAATCCTGCTGCCATCGGTATCATAGAATCCTGATTAGGTGCTTCGGTTGACTATAAGAGAGTTGAACTTCCTAATTATCATCTTCAGTTTAGAAGAGGTCCTAATCGCCATGGAGGAGAATACATGTTAGATGCACAGAGTCAGAGATGGACGAGGCACCACTTTTTCGAGTCTGAGTCGAGTGCGAATCAGCAGCCTTCGAGTCAAGATCCGAGTCCGAGTCGCATCAAAACTTGACTCGAGACGAGTTATTTTCTAGAGAAAAATTTCTCCTGATTCATTTTTCCAAGAACAGATCTTCAATCCTCTCATGTGACACAATGTTCTACTTAGAATATTCTCAAATCTCTCCGTCTTCTGGTATATAACAAATATAATAAACACCGTCATAACTATCCCAAGTTGTACATGACTGACTCGAAAGTGACTGAAGTCAGTTTATCAAGTCTTTTATCTCGAATCCGAGTCACAGAAAAATGCGACCCCATCTCTGCACTGAGTGGCATCGAAATAACTAACAATTTTTTCTCCAACAAACAGACTAGAAACAACCTGCATTCGCCCATCTCTGCACGGAGTGGCATTGATTTAAAACGAATACCACAATTATGTAACACGACTCTTCGGCGAATTGAAATGTGATGGTAGTAAGCAGTGTGACAGCGAATGTTAAAAGAATTTCATTCACGGAAGGATGAATTTTTCTGAAAAGTCTGTGTACCCGCACAGTTAGAAAATGATAGCTTTGAAATGATGTTTTTCACTTTACCCCATTAAATACCATGATCCCCATTTGGAAATATTACATAAATGATTCTATTATTTTCAGATGTGTAAATATTTTTATTATGCAACATATAGTTGAAGAAAGCATAAAATTTGCCTAGCAAAATAAACAGCACGACTTTCAAATGATAGAAAATTGTGTAAGAAAATTTATGGGGTATCTACGTTTGAAAGTCTAAAAATTCCACAAAATACTATATTAATGAAATTTTATTTTAAACCTTAATTCGACATATCTTTTGATACATCAGAATTCAGAAAAATCAAAATTTAAAAATCTAGAACTTAAGAGAGCTTTCGCCCGAAAACCGACCTAGATACCGTGAAGCCGACCGGAGGAAAATTTTATTTTAGTTTTATTAATATCTCAGTCGAAAAAGCATACAAAATAACCACTAATTTTCCAATAACTCTTTCTAAAAGTGCTTTTTTGAAAAAACTAGAGGCCAAACACTCTATTGAAGGTCATTCTTGTTACCAAAGCACGTGAATTTTCACAAATTTTCGTATTCTCTGGAAAACTGTCAAATTCCTATGAGTCGTTTATGGCTCATTTGAAAGAGAAATGTTTAATTAGTCAACTGTGTTTTAATAGTCAATTAAAAATTAAATGTTTCTTCGAAAGTCAGTTCAGCGATTCTAACTCTCTTTGGCGGTTATTTTTCAGCTAAATAATCTCTAAGACTGTAGACTAGAATTTAGAAAAGCTGCT